ATCAAGATGTTCTAGCCTCGTAAATTGACTTACATTAGCTCTAAAGTTTTTAGTGTTGAGTTTTGGGTGTTGAGTGTATAACTTCAGGCTTACATTATTTAAAATAATTTTACTTTCTCCGTAATTTATGATTGCATTTAAAACGTTCAATATATTTCCTCCAATTATACCGTCGAAATGGTCGTGAAAGTTGTATTCCAAGAACTCACACCAGTAATTTTCTATTCGAATTTCTTTGAATGAAGGTAATCTACAAAGTTTTTGTATTTTAATAATGTTTCCCATTGCTTTTACTTGGGCATCGATTTTAGTTTTCCGATTATTTCGGTTATAATTATCAATACTGAAGTTTGTTCTAAGGGGAGTTGTATTATACAACTGTTTTCGAATGGGCCCATAGAGTGTATAATTTTGGTGGCGAGCGTCTTCAATAATTTTGTATGCGTCGTCTAATGACTGCGGATTCCTAGCAAAAATCATTGTTTTAGTAGGTTCGGGAAGATTGTCCCTAAATATTCTAAGTGATATCCTATTAACTTCACTGTACTAAATGGCTCGTTAGAGTGTGTCAAAATTCGGTTATGTATTCTTCTAGCAATTTCATTAATTTTATTGTAATATTGCTCTATTGTGGAATCTATTCTACATAATTTTAGGGTATCCATTAATACATCGCTACTCTCTTTTTCCCCAAAATGTTTTATCAAAATCTCTTTTAATTGGTTCCAGGATCTAATGTTTCCGTATCTATGCAAAACGGGTCTTACTAATCCAATGCATTTGATTTTAAGGTAATTAAGTAAAAGGGTTTTTGACTGTTCATCAAAACATTCAAAAGTTGGAATTAAGTCATTAATTTGATTTATGAAATCTGGGTGCTGGTTTTTATCTGATCCATCGAAATCTTTAATATTTTTTATACAATTTAAATATAGATTAAACGATGCAACTATTTCGGTATTCATATTTTTTTTTTTTTTTTTTTTTTTTTATGTATGTTAGTAAAGTGTAAAGTTATTAGCTTACTTTAGAACAGTGAGGGTCTGCGGGTAGTGTTAAGCGAATAAAGAACTGTGGTCTGTGAAGGCAATAAAGCTCCAACGCAGCAGTTTTTTAGAATAGTACAGCTCCCGAAAAATATAATGATTGATTGATTGATTTTATGTTGTATGCATTGTCCAACGCGGCAGTCTCTGTAGGGTAAGATAAGCGACGGCGGTGATGATGATTGCCAAAGCGCGGTCTCAACAAAAAATGGTGAACCGATGTGCTGATGTGCTGATAAGCTTATGTGCTGATTAGGCTGGCTTTATTGATTATGCTTGAGTCGCTATTTACGGACTTCTCTGGTCGTATTTCGTATGTTTAATACGCGTGTTAGTGATGTTGTTTGGAATTTAATTCCGAACGGGTAATTTAATTTTTTTGTTAGTCCTCGTCGCCAGTTATGTCGATGCTTGGACCCAGTTTAGTAGAGGTCCCACACGTGCCAGATCTTCTTCGATCTACGTGTTTTTTGGGACCAGGAGCTATTTCAGCCGGGTCCGAAGTCGATTATAAAATTAGATGATGTTTAGATGGCTCAATTACTAATTGAGTTTCACGTGTTACACAAAGAAAAGGTTGCTAGACTCTCAGTATGACTTTATTATTACGAACTCTTGTACGGTCTAAATTCAACTACTTCTTAGCAGCGATCAGAAAGAGCTTAAAGTCCAATTACAGTGGATCTTATCTCTAATCTTTTATGTATGTATAGGTTACAATTAAGGGAATTAGAATAGTAATAGTTGTAGTTATAGTTATGGTCATATGTGACTATATAAGGCAGGAAAGGGGAATATTGCCGACTCACTATCAAGACTTTGCGAAGTAACCGATGCAGACCCTTATGACTGGGCTGGTGAGGAACACATATTTCGCGTGGTGTCAACCTTAATTCCTAGATCGCTCTCCATATCCAAGGTCACAGAGATGAGCACCCAGGATGAGGAAATAATAGACGTGATGACATGCCTTGGTCAGGATTCATGGAACTCAAATATGTCTAGCTCGTACTATCCATTTCGTTTAGAACTCTCGATTGTGGGAAATATTCTATTGCGGGGCACAAGACTAGTAATTCCGCGGAAGTTACGTGGACCAGTACCTAAACTCGCTCATGAAGGGCATCCCGGGTAAGCGCTATGAAACGGAGATTTCGTTCCAAAGTTTGGTGGCCGTGTATGGACAAGGACACAGAACAGTATGTTAAAGAGTGCCGCGATTGCCTGTTCGTATCAATGACATCAAATCCGGCCCCCATGAAAAGACATCCGTTTCCGAATGGACCCTGGAGATGCGTAGCGACCGATCTTTTGGGCCCTTTACCAAATGGTGAGAATGTACTCGTATTAATAGACTATTACTATGGTATATGGAATTCAAACTCATCAAGTCATCGAAAACCATTATTGAGGAAATGGAAGAGATCTTTTCCAGATTGGGATTCCCGGAAACATTACCAACTGATAATGGGAGGCAATTTGTCAGCGTCGAATTTAAAAATTTTTGTGAAAGCAGCGGCGTTACGCTAATGCCAACTCCCTCATACTGGCCCCATGCCAACGGCGAAGTAGAAAACATGAACAGATCAAAACATGCCAATAACGACAATTACAAAAAGAAATTCAAAAATTTTTACTAATGTATAACGTCACTCCACACGGGACCACGGGCGCACCACCAACAAAGCTAATGTTTAACAGAGTGATAAGGGACAAAATTCCTGGCATACAGGACCTCGTGGGTAAAACGGTTGATTCAGAAGAGAGAGACAGGGACGTCTGGAAGAAAGAGAAAGAGAAAGGGAAAGAGTTAGCCGACAACGCTAGGAAAGCGGGAGTGATCGATATAAAAGTAGGTGACAAAGTTCTAAAAAACGTAATATTCCCGCATAAGCTGACGCCAACATTCGATACGACCACATATGAAGTAACTAACCGAGAGGGAAATGTTGTTCAAATTTCTGGTGGTGGTAAGTCGTATACTAGGAATGTAAGCCACTTGAAAAAGATCATCGGCGCAGACTCATCGAAATCGTCTAACTCGGTGAGCCCCGATGTTGACATATCTCCCTTAGCTATTCCTTTACAGCCGGTTGCCGAAACTCTGACGCCACAGGAAACTCCGGCACCAAAGGACCTCCCTGACCCGAACGAGAATCTGAAGCTCCGTCTGGAGAAAAAAGAAGGGGTGTGGAGATCCGTATCGGCAGCGAAGAGCGACGGCAGAGATGGGATTGACGCGCTCTCTCAAAAGAAGTGAAGGACGTAAGAAGAAGAAAAGTATTAATGTTCACTATTCGGTCGGAGTTAGTTGACTGGTAACGCCCGCTGTGCCTAATAAAGGAGCTGAAATATCGTATTTGGAACTGTTGTTTAAATTGGGGATTTGGAATCGTTACAGTATTGCCTCCTTTGACGTGATGTAGCAATTGCCCACCTGGATGGTAATGAACTCCACCTTCTTCCTGCTCGTGAAGAGATCTGCCTCCGTTTTATGTGCTGCTAGGTTCAGTCCAGAGTCAGACATCCATGTTGAAATTCTCCGTATTGCTTCATTCGCAATGGTTTTCACGTCCTTGGTTTCCTTCGCCACCACATCCCGTCGGTAGTTGGATCCTGAGTACTTTGTCGTACATGATGTTCCAAAGAAGTGGCCCGAGGACCGATCCTTGCGGCACCCCCGCAGTCACCTCATAGGATTTTGGTCCTTCGTCCGTGTCGTACAGCAGTGTATTATCTGAAAGGTAGCTGGATAATATTAGTTGTAGGTATCTAGGAGTGCCTGCCAAGAACGAGGGTCGTTGGATAAGTGTCCAATTAGCCGAGTTGAAGGCATTGCGGATATCTAGTGTTACCATCGCGCAATACTCCTTTTCTCCCCATTTCCACCGAGTTTTCGCGATGGCTGCTTCCGCAGTGTCGGTCACGGCTTTGATGGCTTCCACCGTGGAGCGCGCCTTACGGAAGCCGTGCTGTCTGACCGAGAGCGTTCCTTTGGCCTCAGCGAATTTCGAGACGCGGGTAGCGATGGCCATCTCGAGGTCTTTCCTTACTGTGTCTAGGAGACATATGGGCCTGAATCATGATGGGTCGTCTGTCGCCTTGTTCCCTTTCGGCGGCAGAATGAGGTTCTGCCTCTTCCACTTTTTTTGGAAAAGTGCTTTTTGCCGTGCTGAAGACATTTGTTGAAGGTCTCAGCGAAGACCTCCGGTTTCTCCTGCATGGCCTACCTCAGGACGGAATTTGGCACTCCGTCTGGTCTTGGAGTCTTTCCAGCCTTTATCTTTTTTGCGTAGCTCCGGATCTCCTCCTCCGTAACTGGCATACACGGCTCCCCATCATCGGCTGGTATAGTCTCCCTTTTTGGCGGGTGCTTTGGGAACAGAGCCTCCACTATTTTCCTTAATAGGGTAGGGCATGTTGGTCTAAGGTGTTCTTGCCCATTAATCCTTTTCATGACGACCTTGTAGGCTGTGCCCCACCTAGCGTCGCTGACCTCCCAGTTGCACCTCCTTATTAGTGCGCTGCTAACGAAGGTGATGTCGATGATATTTCCACACCCTGCCTTGCTGTACGTCAGCTTTTGGCCTCTATTGGCCAAAACCACGTCCAGTGCCGCGAAGTGTTCCAGGAGACTGGTGCCCCTCTCGTTCGGTGCTCGGCTTCCCCACTCCGGGCACCAGGCGTTGAAGTCCCCTCCAATGACCCCCGGCGATCTGCCTCTTGCATCCGCAACCAAGCTTCGTAGCATCCTTAGGTAGCGCGAGATTTCCCATTTTGGCCCCCGCCAACCTACCGTTGCAGCTATTAAATGTAACCCCCTTTATTTTGGCCGTCTCCGTTGATCACAGAGCCGCTCCCTTGCAGCTGCTTGCCAGCTATCCGTTTCCTGGGATGCTTCTATATGGTTCCGAGATGAGGACTACCTGTGTCTGCTCGTCTCTGACCGCCTGCCTAAGCAGAGACTGAGCCGCCTCGCAATGGTTGAGGTTGAGCTGGGTGCACTTCTGTTATGTGTCCTGCTTCCTTCCCGGCGTTGCTGCAGAGCGCGCACTTAGGTTCTTCCGCGCAGTCTTTTGCCATATGGCCGTCCTTGCCACATCTCTTGCACATTCGTAAGCGGTCGATGGCTCTCTGACACTGTTTCGCAATGTGCCCAAACTCTGGTCCTTTCCTGAGTCTGCCCCGCATCCAGCCTACTTTCAACCAGACTATCTTCGTTGCTTTCCGTGCACACGTGGCAGGCAGTCTAATTATAGCTGTCTGCGTCTGGCCAAAAGTCTTCCTTAAAAGGATGTCGCTTACCGGCACCCCTGGAGATTCCACCAGCTTTCCAATGGCTTCAGAAACCTCCTCCTTTGTAGTGATCTCATCCAGATCCCTACACTCGATTTCGATCTTGTGCGACAAGGAGCGCACAAGATAACCACAAGGTAACCATGATCCCATGGTTACCTTTGCGCTTAGTGGGGTCCATGCTAGGGTTGACTCTAGCCCTTACGAGGTGTAGAGTTCAGAGCCAGATCCGCGTTGGTCAGGAATGGTTCATCTGAGCCTGCACGGCCAGCTTAGTGACGACACCTATGGAGAGTTTTCTGGAGACTTGCCAAATTTTAGCGGGCAGGGGGCAGAAACTGCATTAGCCTGGCAGCCATTTCGGCGAGAGTTCACTCCGCGTACTCAGGTGACAGAATAAAGCTGTCCGTCAGCCCAGGGTTCGTCCCAGGGTAGTTTTCCGATTATTTCGGTTATAATTATCAATACTGAAGTTTGTTCTAAGGGGAGTTGTATTATACAACTGTTTTCGAATGGGCCCATAGAGTGTATAATTTTGGTGGCGAGCGTCTTCAATAATTTTGTATGCGTCGTCTAATGACTGCGGATTCCTAGCAAAAATCATTGTTTTAGTAGGTTCGGGAAGATTGTCCCTAAATATTCTAAGTGATATCCTATTAACTTCACTGTACTAAATGGCTCGTTAGAGTGTGTCAAAATTCGGTTATGTATTCTTCTAGCAATTTCATTAATTTTATTGTAATATTGCTCTATTGTGGAATCTATTCTACATAATTTTAGGGTATCCATTAATACATCGCTACTCTCTTTTTCCCCAAAATGTTTTATCAAAATCTCTTTTAATTGGTTCCAGGATCTAATGTTTCCGTATCTATGCAAAACGGGTCTTACTAATCCAATGCATTTGATTTTAAGGTAATTAAGTAAAAGGGTTTTTGACTGTTCATCAAAACATTCAAAAGTTGGAATTAAGTCATTAATTTGATTTATGAAATCTGGGTGCTGGTTTTTATCTGATCCATCGAAATCTTTAATATTTTTTATACAATTTAAATATAGATTAAACGATGCAACTATTTCGGTATTCATATTTTTTTTTTTTTTTTTTTTTTTTTTTATGTATGTTAGTAAAGTGTAAAGTTATTAGCTTACTTTAGAACAGTGAGGGTCTGCGGGTAGTGTTAAGCGAATAAAGAACGGTGGTCTGTGAAGGCAATAAAGCTCCAACGCAGCAGTTTTTTAGAATAGTACAGCTCCCGAAAAATATAATGATTGATTGATTGATTTTATGTTGTATGCATTGTCCAACGCGGCAGTCTCTGTAGGGTAAGATAAGCGACGGCGGTGATGATGATTGCCAAAGCGCGGTCTCAACAAAAAATGGTGAACCGATGTGCTGATGTGCTGATAAGCTTATGTGCTGATTAGGCTGGCTTTATTGATTATGCTTGAGTCGCTATTTACGGACTTCTCTGGTCGTATTTCGTATGTTTAATACGCGTGTTAGTGATGTTGTTTGGAATTTAATTCCGAACGGGTAATTTAATTTTTTGTTAGTCCTCGTCGCCAGTTATGTCGATGCTTGGACCCAGTTTAGTAGAGGTCCCACACGTGCCAGATCTTCTTCGATCTACGTGTTTTTTGGGACCAGGAGCTATTTCAGCCGGGTCCGAAGTCGATTATAAAATTAGATGATGTTTAGATGGCTCAATTGCTAATTGAGTTTCACGTGTTACACAAAGAAAAGGTTGCTAGACTCTCAGTATGACTTTATTATTACGTCCGAACTCTTGTACGGTCTAAATTCAACTACTTCTTAGCAGCGATCAGAAAGAGCTTAAAGTCCAATTACAGTGGATCTTATCTCTAATCTTTTATGTATGTATAGGTTACAATTAAGGGAATTAGAATAGTAATAGTTGTAGTTATAGTTATGGTCATATGTGACTATATAAGGCAGGAAAGGGGAATATTGCCGACTCACTATCAAGACTTTGCGAAGTAACCGATGCAGACCCTTATGACTGGGCTGGTGAGGAACACATATTTCGCGTGGTGTCAACCTTAATTCCTAGATCGCTCTCCATATCCAAGGTCACAGAGATGAGCACCCAGGATGAGGAAATAATAGACGTGATGACATGCCTTGGTCAGGATTCATGGAACTCAAATACGTCTAGCTCGTACTATCCATTTCGTTTAGAACTCTCGATTGTGGGAAATATTCTATTGCGGGGCACAAGACTAGTAATTCCGCGGAAGTTACGTGGACCAGTACCTAAACTCGCTCATGAAGGGCATCCCGGGTAAGCGCTATGAAACGGAGATTTCGTTCCAATGTTTGGTGGCCGTGTATGGACAAGGACACAGAACAGTATGTTAAAGAGTGCCGCGATTGCCTGTTCGTATCAATGACATCAAATCCGGCCCCCATGAAAAGACATCCGTTTCCGAATGGACCCTGGAGATGCGTAGCGACCGATCTTTTGGGCCCTTTACCAAATGGTGAGAATGTACTCGTATTAATAGACTATTACTATGGTATATGGAATTCAAACTCATCAAGTCATCGAAAACCATTATTGAGGAAATGGAAGAGATCTTTTCCAGATTGGGATTCCCGGAAACATTACCAACTGATAATGGGAGGCAATTTGTCAGCGTCGAATTTAAAAATTTTTGTGAAAGCAGCGGCGTTACGCTAATGCCAACTCCCTCATACTGGCCCCATGCCAACGGCGAAGTAGAAAACATGAACAGATCAAAACATGCCAATAACGACAATTACAAAAAAGAAATTCAAAAATTTTTACTAATGTATAACGTCACTCCACACGGGACCACGGGCGCACCACCAACAAAGCTAATGTTTAACAGAGTGATAAGGGACAAAATTCCTGGCATACAGGACCTCGTGGGTAAAACGGTTGATTCAGAAGAGAGAGACAGGGACGTCTGGAAGAAAGAGAAAGAGAAAGGGAAAGAGTTAGCCGACAACGCTAGGAAAGCGGGAGTGATCGATATAAAAGTAGGTGACAAAGTTCTAAAAAACGTAATATTCCCGCATAAGCTGACGCCAACATTCGATACGACCACATATGAAGTAACTAACCGAGAGGGAAATGTTGTTCAAATTTCTGGTGGTGGTAAGTCGTATACTAGGAATGTAAGCCACTTGAAAAAGATCATCGGCGCAGACTCATCGAAATCGTCTAACTCGGTGAGCCCCGATGTTGACATATCTCCCTTAGCTATTCCTTTACAGCCGGTTGCCGAAACTCTGACGCCACAGGAAACTCCGGCACCAAAGGACCTCCCTGACCCGAACGAGAATCTGAAGCTCCGTCTGGAGAAAAAAGAAGGGGTGTGGAGATCCGTATCGGCAGCGAAGAGCGACGGCAGAGATGGGATTGACGCGCTCTCTCAAAAGAAGTGAAGGACGTAAGAAGAAGAAAAGTATTAATGTTCACTATTCGGTCGGAGTTAGTTGACTGGTAACGCCCGCTGTGCCTAATAAAGGAGCTGAAATATCGTATTTGGAACTGTTTTTTAAATTGGGGATTTGGAATCGTTACAGTATTGCCTCCTTTGACGTGATGTAGCAATTGCCCACCTGGATGGTAATGAACTCCACCTTCTTCCTGCTCGTGAAGAGATCTGCCTCCGTTTTATGTGCTGCTAGGTTCAGTCCAGAGTCAGACATCCATGTTGAAATTCTCCGTATTGCTTCATTCGCAATGGTTTTCACGTCCTTGGTTTCCTTCGCCAACACATCCCGTCGGTAGTTGGATCCTGAGTACTTTGTCGTACATGATGTTCCAAAGAAGTGGCCCGAGGACCGATCCTTGCGGCACCCCCGCAGTCACCTCATAGGATTTTGGTCCTTCGTCCGTGTCGTACAGCAGTGTATTATCTGAAAGGTAGCTGGATAATATTAGTTGTAGGTATCTAGGAGTGCCTGCCAAGAACGAGGGTCGTTGGATAAGTGTCCAATTAGCCGAGTTGAAGGCATTGCGGATATCTAGTGTTACCATCGCGCAATACTCCTTTTCTCCCCATTTCCACCGAGTTTTCGCGATGGCTGCTTCCGCAGTGTCGGTCACGGCTTTGATGGCTTCCACCGTGGAGCGCGCCTTACGGAAGCCGTGCTGTCTGACCGAGAGCGTTCCTTTGGCCTCAGCGAATTTCGAGACGCGGGTAGCGATGGCCATCTCGAGGTCTTTCCTTACTGTGTCTAGGAGACATATGGGCCTGAATCATGATGGGTCGTCTGTCGCCTTGTTCCCTTTCGGCGGCAGAATGAGGTTCTGCCTCTTCCACTTTTTTTTGGAAAAGTGCTTTTTTGCCGTGCTGAAGACATTTGTTGAAGGTCTCAGCGAAGACCTCCGGTTTCTCCTGCATGGCCTACCTCAGGACGGAATTTGGCACTCCGTCTGGTCTTGGAGTCTTTCCAGCCTTTATCTTTTTTGCGTAGCTCCGGATCTCCTCCTCCGTAACTGGCATACACGGCTCCCCATCATCGGCTGGTATAGTCTCCCTTTTTGGCGGGTGCTTTGGGAACAGAGCCTCCACTATTTTCCTTAATAGGGTAGGGCATGTTGGTCTAAGGTGTTCTTGCCCATTAATCCTTTTCATGACGACCTTGTAGGCTGTGCCCCACCTAGCGTCGCTGACCTCCCAGTTGCACCTCCTTATTAGTGCGCTGCTAACGAAGGTGATGTCGATGATATTTCCACACCCTGCCTTGCTGTACGTCAGCTTTTGGCCTCTATTGGCCAAAACCACGTCCAGTGCCGCGAAGTGTTCCAGGAGACTGGTGCCCCTCTCGTTCGGTGCTCGGCTTCCCCACTCCGGGCACCAGGCGTTGAAGTCCCCTCCAATGACCCCCCGGCGATCTGCCTCTTGCATCCGCAACCAAGCTTCGTAGCATCCTTAGGTAGCGCGAGATTTCCCATTTTGGCCCCCGCCAACCTACCGTTGCAGCTATTAAATGTAACCCCCTTTATTTTGGCCGTCTCCGTTGATCACAGAGCCGCTCCCTTGCAGCTGCTTGCCAGCTATCCGTTTCCTGGGATGCTTCTATATGGTTCCGAGATGAGGACTACCTGTGTCTGCTCGTCTCTGACCGCCTGCCTAAGCAGAGACTGAGCCGC